GTGACTCTTCTTATGATGCAACGTGCACATGACTGACCCATAATTATGCAGCACATTGCAAACGCACCACATTGTATGTCGAGTTACATGAATATCACAATAGAGGAAATTTCTCCCCCGAGTCCTGAAATTATGCTACCAAGGGAGATAACAATAGGCTTCGAATTTAAGGTCATACTCATCAAGCTTATCATCAATAACACGAAGCCAGCTTGATGTGCAAGGTACTGTGAACGGTGGTATCGGAAACCGCGCTGAATATTATGTTTAGCTTGGCTACGAAACAACTAAAGCTGCAACACTCAGGTAAAAGATATTAGTGGAATTGCTTCATTACTCTGGACTATACGATTTGCTAAATCCGTACTGGTAGGTTGTCATTCGGTACCGTAAGCTATAACGATATTTGTTAAGCTATAGTATCGATTATGAGAACTTAAATCCTTATACCCTTTATGGTCAATGCTCCTAGGTATAATTAACAACATAAGATAACAAGCACCATCCCGTCTTTCATAGAGAACACGGCGTGGAGGAAAGGAATTATACTAGATTAAATGCTTCAGCTTAAACTCAACTGCACTAGCAAATGTAGCTTTTGATGGACGTTGAATGGGTACACTGTCTAGGAGTTTACGGCAAAAACGTAGCTGGTGTTCACTCTGATTCATGTCCAGTACATTCTCTAGCGAAGCACAGGAGTAAGAATCAGAATCTCAAAACGGAAAGCGATGGGAAATAGTAAAATGTGGGCCAACAGTCGATATCTAAGTTTCGCGATTACAACGCGACCTACACTCCTCAAATCTTGTTTCAACCTACATCTGGGCAGAAGGTGACCACGTATATGCAGATTGCTCTGAAGCAAATGCCGCAAGGGTACCTGTAGTACTATTGTGGTATTTGGTAATCCTACCGCAACACTGATTTTTATCGACTCGAATTGCATACCATATAAGAGAAGCTGCGCCAGACATATGTGCAGGGTCGAAAGGGTTACTCCAAATCTGGAAAAACAACGCAGGGATATTGATTTTCGACAAGCAGCTAGTCAAC